GGTCTGCCATCCCCCACTGCTTGTGTGTTTAGGGCTTTCCACTCCCCACTCCTCATTTGCCAACATGTAGGGCTTGCCACACAGTGTAGTTCGGTGTTTTGCCACTCCCCACTCCACTGGCGGGTTTGATTTGTCAGGGTTTTTTTTGGGTCTGTCCGCTTTGGGTTGAATGCCTGCTAGGTATCAAGCCATTTATTGTTTGGGGCCTGCCACTCCGCACACTGCAGGCTTGCATTGGCCGCACATTTCAAGTTAGGGTTGCGCTCCCCGTTCCAAGTCAAATTTTTGGCTTTGGAGCTTGTCACTGGACCACATTATGTTTGGGACTTATTGGCCGCCGTCTCTCATTCGTGTTAGTGTTTTTTTCAGAGCTTTCCAGTCTCCACTCATCTCCACTCGCGTGTTGGGGTTGCGATCCAATTGTCACACCAAGGTGCAAGGTTTTTCATTGTGTGTAGCTGGGATGTGGTTGAAGGTCTGCCAGCTCCCGTTTACAATTCGAGGCCTCCACGTTCCTTGTCAGGTTTAGGGTTTAGGGCTTGTCCCCGGCACGGTCCGTTTCAGGGTTACTGCCGCTTCCCTTTGTGGTTGGGTGGTTGGAGTTGTCCACTCCCCGCTGCCCTTGCGGGTTCGGTTTTGCGATTTGTCAAGCTTTAGGGTTTAGCCGTGTGTGTATTGGCTTGGGTTCAATGCCTGCTGTCCCGCAAGCCTTTTTGTTGTTTAAGGCTTTGTCCAAGCTGTTTTAAAGTGAGTGCTCCAGAATAGCAATAGCAGTAGGAATAGGAATAGGAATGAGATTGCGGCAGGCAGGGGTGTCCGACCGTAGCAGCGTGTCGCAGGTGAACGCGGATTGATACGCAGCGGGATGTATGACACCCTGTGACGTAGCAGTGGTAGCCTGCGAGATTTTGTTTGTTGTTATCCGTGACGGGCAGTCGCAGCTGCCAGAGCGCGCACGGTGTTGCGTTCAGCGAATTGCGGTGTCGAGAGTCAGTTGCTCCCGCAGGTTGGGCGATTTCGGCAGGCGGCGTTGCCAATCACCTGTGGCATTCTGGAAGGACCCGGCCGGCGACAAAGAGAAGCACGGTGATAAAGTGGCAGGCTAAAGATCGCAGTGGAGGCAGGGGTGTTTGAAAGAGGTCCCAACAGCATCGGTAGTGGCACAACAGAAGGTTCCAGGACACGCTGCGTGTGCTGCAGGTCAACACATGTTCGTGTGAAGTGTAAAATGGTGTTGTTTTGGTTTGTGACTGGGAGGTGTCCGCCAGCTGCGGCGATGCGCGTGCCAAGGCTGTTTGTGGAGCAGTAGGACAGGTTTGAATGTCACCAGTGACCGAACAGTTGCAGGGTGTCTGATGCAGTTGACAGTCATCTTCGACGGGCGGTAGCAGCAGCAACGAATGATCGTGCGGGATGCGGAAGCAGGTTCCCTTACGTAGATTCTGGCTCGCAGCAACCACCAACGACGTTAGGCACGGCTTCACCTGAGAGCATGGCATCCACTTCGAAGCGCCACCGCATGCAAGCGCTGCAGCTTCTTGATGTTGAAGCCGTTGAAGAAGACGTGAGTGTTGCTGGCGTCCATGCCAAGCCTGCGACACTGTTGTCAACCTCGTGCCCGTGCACCTTCTCTGGACCGCCGAGTGGTCCCGGCTGGTGAGCCTCGGTGGGGTCAACATGACTGTTACAGATGGCACTGGCGTGAGCTGGCTGGGAAGCTGTCGAAGCGACTCGCATAGTCGTTCGGGGCAGCATAGGAGTCGGATCCCACGACGTTCATTCGTTTGGTGCTGAAGGGCTTTCGGGTCAGTCCCTTTCCGCCTGGCATCGCCCAGGTGTACGAAGTGGCAGCACAGCCAATCGGACAGCAGCATCGGAGGCAGTTGAGCGACAGCTTGACGACAGACGGAGGCGAGCATGAAGTTGCTTGGTTTGTTACGAAGATTGCTTCATTCACGTGGAGCCGTCCGCGCCTGCCACTGCGCCGGATGCATCATCACGGGAGGGAGCGATTTTTAGGGGATGTGCGGCTGCAACCGGCGAGTCTGGGGAGGAGCTTGCAAGCAGAACGGGGCTTAGAGACTCTGAAAGCGGCTGTTTGAAGCAGAGGTCCAGGGATGTCCAGGGCAAAGGGTGTGTTGTTGAGTGTTAAGGATGTAGTGAAGTGTGTAATGCAGGCGCCGGTGCAGTCGGTTTTGAAAGGCTTTCCTGGCTATCATGCATGGCCCAAAAGACGGCCTGTGCACATTCGTGCGGTGAACATGTGGCCATTCAGTAGGAATCAGTCGCTGGCATTGGCAAGGCTACTTGGCGGCGAGGGTCTTGAGGAGGCGATTTTCCTCGCGCTTTTTGCCTGCGCAACGACAGGCGGATTGGCGAAACGGAAGATGTTGCAGCAGCAGGCGGCGTCGTGGGGCGACATTGTGCATATTTGTGCATCAGGTTGTGCTGCGATGCCTGCCAGGCTGACTCCAGGAGGACGTGTGGAGCAGTGGATTCTTTCTGCAGACAATGGCCTTGCGGTTGCTCGTGCTGGAAAGACAGATTTCGGCTCTGCTGCAGTGCCTGTTGGAGGCGACTTGAAAGACGGCTTTCGAGCTCGAGTGCTCGATATTGAACACTTTCAAAGTTTCAACACCCGCGACTGCTGCCATATCTAAATTTGCAGTGGCGAAATTGCGAAAAGCTCGTATCTTCAGCCCGACCCACTTTAGACGGTGGCACCTGATTGCATATGTTCAATCCACCCTGCGTAGGTGATGGCGTTGATTTTTGTGTCGAATCGCATTCTCATGTAGGCAAGTGCGGTGGATCCCATATCTTAAGCCCTGCCCATCATGAGGCGAGTGTGGTTGATCTCACATTTTGGTCCTGTCACCCATTTGGCGATGGCGGTTAATCCTATGTCTTTCCACATCTTAAACCCGCCCCTGCATTAGGCGATGGTTAATCGACGGCGTTTGATCTTATCTCTTCAACCCGGCTCCGCAGTAGGCTGTGCGATGGCGATTGAACTCGTATGAAAATCCCACTATAATTGGGTAGCCGCGATTGATCCCGTTTAAACCCCGGCCCCTCCCCAGGCGATGGGGGTTGGTGCGACAAAAATAATGCATGTCGGAAACCTGCACCCATATCATTCGATGGGTAGATCCTGTATCTCAAACCCGCCATCATCAGACGATGGCAGCTGATCCAATATGTCAAACATGCCTCGTCTTTGGAACTAAGGTACATGTAACCTTGCTTCAAATAGTGGGATTTTTTGCTCAAAGAGTCGAGCTCCAAATTCGCAGCTTGTTATGAATCTCGAAGCTTCCAATCTTCAGAACATGTCTAATTTTAACGCTACGCCGCCCGCCTCGGCTCTTTAGCAGCAGGGCGAGGGGGCAGTTGATGTTGTATACACCGGCACGGGGGGGAGGGGGTGGGGGAGGGGGGGTGTGTGATGGACACTTGCAGGCTATTTGACATGCCCTTGCTTGCAACAGTGTAAGACATTTGCACGAAAGACACGTCAAATAGACGCTGAAATTTTCACCGGCCGAGCGCATCCTGTGCCAAAGTCGGAGCACATGAGGGCGCTGAGGGCGCTGAGGGCGCGCTGAGGGCGCTGAGGGCACTGCGGGCGGTGAGGGCGCGGAGGGATGCTGAGGGTGCGGAGGGCGCGGAGCGCTGAGGGCGCTCAGGGCGCTCAGAGCGCTGAGGGCGCGGAGGGCGCGGAGGGCGTTGAGGGCGCTGAGGGCGCTGAGGGCGCTGAGGGCGCGGAGGGCGCTGAGGGCGCTGAGGGCGCTGAGGGCGCTGAGGGCGCTGAGGGCGCGGAGGTGAGGGCGCAGAGGGCGCGGAGGGCGGTGAGGGCGCGGAGGGCTCTGAGGGCGTGGAGGGCGCTGAGCGCGCGCTGAGCGCGCGGAGGGCGCTGAGGGCGCTTATATAGGGCGCTGGGGCGCTGAGGGCGCTGAGGGCGCTGAGGGCGCGGAGGGCGCGGAGGGCGCTGAGGGCGCTGAGGGCGCGGAGGGCGCTGAGGGCGCTGAGGGCGCGGAGGGCGCTGAGGGCGCGGAGCGCGCTGAGAGCGCTGAGGGCGGTGCTTGAATGTTCTGGGTGTTGCTACCCGGTTAAGGTGGTTATTAAAGCAGTAGTAACGAAGTATTAACGAAGTAGTAAGTAGGTGGTAAAGAACTATAATTTACATAGTATGATTTAAATGCTTAAGCGGTTTTTGTAATTATGTTAACTCAAGTTAAAAAAGCTAGTGAGTTAGCTTCTGCTACTAACCACTTAGGCAAGTATGTTTTTCAAACTACAAAAGTACTTTTGTGATGCTTGAATTTCGTATTTTTCCAATACTAGTTCTGGCTTTTACTCCAATACTTTGCATGGCTTGCAGGCATGGCAGTTGGCAACGTCCTTGGCATGATGTGCTGAGCATGCAGTTGCATCAATGCAAATCATGCATGCATGCATGTCCAGCTCTTGGCATGTTGTTGTGCAGCTTGCTCTTCTTGGCACGGGCTTGCATGTTTCGTTGCATGTCTTGCATGTATTGAACCAAGTTGGTTTGCACCTTGCATGATTGATGCATGTGTTGTTTTGGCACTTGGATTGCATGGTGATGGTTTTGAAACTGTCTTGGCATGGCTTTGTTGATGCATGTTATACTTGCATGCAGGATGTATACAGGAGATTGCATGTTTGGTTGCACGGCATGTGTTGGCTTGATGGTTGCATGTTCATGTTCATGTTAGATGCATCTGAAAGGTACATACAGACATCCATGACAGCTTTGGTCCAAGAAAGCAAAAGTTGCAAAGGCCTTTTTCTGGAAGTCATGGCTCTGAGTGAAGCTGTGAAACAGCAAGCAAATGCCATCATGGCTTCAGAAGATGTTGCGAACCTCAAGGTTCAGAAGCTCAATGAATTGTGGATGGCAAACGGCTTGGCATCCTTGCAGAAGCATGGGCCGGAACGGTTCTTGATCCACCCCCTGAACAGGGGGGGGGGCCATGTTAAATGGCTTTGATATGCTGGCCAAGGGCGAAAGAATCCTCTCTCAAGGCCTGAGGAAAGATTTGCTGGAATGTTCGGCGGTTGCGATCGGCCTGAGCAGCAACAGCACGATCCGAGAACAACAGGTCGAAGCGAACCACAAGCTTGCGGCACAATTCTCGACGTGCATTTCAATGCCGCAGGGGAAGGAGTTGTTCATGACTGTTGGTTCCAGCCACACAACATGTTTCTTGAAAAGCTTGATGTATGGCAAGCTTGAACAGAGCTCGAACAGTTGCATGCAACCGGGCCACCCGGTCCAAGAGGCTTTGGTTTCAGGCTGGAATTGGCTTATCTTGTCGGACGTGTTGGAGCAGCAGTGGCCGGGCCTGCCTCTCCTATACTCCTCGGTTTTGAACAACAGCAATTCCGTCCACGTAGCCAGCACCGAAATGGAGGCCCTCGCTACTTTGCAAAAGTATATGGCCTCTGGGAAGTCCATGCAGGAAGCCATTACTTTGTGCAAACAGGGGGAACCAGTTTGTAAGTCTTACATTGATGCCATCGCGATGTTTGCCCAAAAGTTCTGTGGTGGCACAGATATGCCCATGGTCGGCTTTCTGGTGGGGTTCAGTGACTGGTCTGAAGTGTTTAAGCATTCCTTGCATGTTTTAGAGGGTGCATGCCAATTTCTTAATTGATGTCACTTGCAATTCATGCTCATGCGAGGCAAAGTCTACGGTGAATCCCAACGTCTGGGATCGGAATTCACCCGTCTCATCGCTCACTATGATTTCCGCTTGGATGCCAATCTCGCACCATGTTTTCGCATCGCATGCATGGCCGCCCAAATGTCGTCACCGAAGGTAGTGGATGGAGTAGCGAAAATGATTTACAAGTCAGACCTCGATGCTGCAAAGAAGCGAAAGCAGGAGTTGCAGGAGTCCGAGGAAGGCCTTCGAGATGCATGGCATGTGACTCAATTGGCCGGCCACTTGTCCGAGCATGAAAAGATCCAGGTGTTCGGGCGCTTATGTGTTCGGACTGTCTTGTGGATGCTTGGCAAACAGAAGGCAGGTCGTGAAGAGCGGGAGTGGGCTTCTTTCGCGGGCATTCGGGATGCTTTCGCTGACGAGCTCATGAAGAAGGATGCGAAGCCGTCTTCGTCGGCATCTGTGCTGCCAGCCAAGTCGGACATCGTGAACATGGTTGATGCATCGAAAGCGAGCATCATGCTTGTCCAATACGATCACTTGGAGGTGGGCTCGAATTACACGAACGAAGACCATCCCAACAAGGTTTGGACCTTGACCAAGGTTGCTGACGAAGGTTGCACGTGTTTTGCTTGCACCATGCCATGGGCTGTCGTGCATGTAGCTGTGGCAGGTATATACACATATAGATATTGTATGTGTGCTTCCATGTTTCAACCCAGGTTCGAGCACCAGCCCTTGTGCCAGCCCGCCGAGTCCGTGTCTGCGGTTGCTTCGGAGTTGAAGAAATGGAAACGAACCAAGAAGCCGGTTCTCATTTGTTACGACCAGGCCAAGACTCACGATTTCATGTACGAGTCAAGCCCGGCAGCTTCAGAGCCCGTGGAGCTTGCCAAGAAACAGGTGAAGTTTTACGAGGCCTGCTGCAGCCTTGCGAACTGCAGCAGCATGGTGAGCTTCTTCGGACCGCCGATGAATGTCTGTGCCAATGAGAACATCGCCAAAAACAAGTTGAAGCTTGTTGCCTACGGCCAGCTCTCCAAGCTTGATCCCAATTCAATCCACAAAGTGGGCGGCTACAGCTTGTATCCTTTCAAGACTTGCACGGACATCGACAAGCTCAACAACACCTTCGTGCTGGTCCCCTTTTGGTTCATCAAGGTGTCATCGCAAAACCCAAACATGAGCTTGAGTGTTGTGAAGAAAGATGGCTTTGAGATCCCTTGCATGACGAACTCTCGTGCCGTGAAAGCCGGCGAGGTTCTTGTGTGCGAGGCTGCCGCCCAACCCAAGGCCAAGGCTTCCAACAAGAGGAAGGCTTCCTGATGCACATAGGCATGCATCGACTCCTGCAGTTTTGCACATGCTTTTGCTGTCAAAAAAAGCACATGCACAGTTGCATGTTTCAACGGCAAGCATGCAAGCATCATGTGCACAAATGCTATAATCAGATCGGTCGATGCAGGAAGCTTTGCATGCTTTAGCTTGTCAAGCTGCTCAAGCACGTGGAAGTTCATTTCAAGTTTGCACCATGGACGAAAACGAGGAAGTTGAAGGAGAGGATGATCGTTCAGTGGTGGTTGAGCAAATCTTTCAACTCAAGACGGCAGACCATCCTGGGGGACTAGTGGTGCCTGGTGATCTTCTCGTCAAATACGAAGACGAAGACTTTTTGAAGTTGATCGGCAGCAAATTTTGGCTATGCAAACTCGTGTGTCCCCAAGAATCCAAGCATGTGAAAAACATCAGTCTTGCAGGCACTCCTTGCATGAAAGCTTTGCAAGAAGCGGTGTGGGCTGCCTTCTTGAATCCGCCGGAGGACGATGATGCGGACAAGCCACAGCTCTTCGAAAAGACGAAATCCGCCAAGCTCAAGAGGAAGATGTCAGAGGTCAGCACGAAGACCAAAGAGGTGACCTTGCCTGACGGGTCCAAGGCCATGTTTTATGTGGAGGGACCCAAAGAAGCTGTGGCAGTCCGTATGCGATCGGAAGATCTGACGGCTGTTAGGACTTACTTGACTGCAGCTTGCACAGAATGTTCTGCAGGTGCCACCCGTGCATACAAGAAGACGGGCAAATATGCCAAGAAGTGATTTCCTGTGCTTGGCCAGTCGCAAAAGTTGTTGCATCATGCCACGGCTGGGATCGCTTCTGCACTGCTTGTTTTTGTTTGCTGCATGAAAGCGATTTTCTTTATTGGCATGATGCATGCATGGGGTTAGGGGTTGATGTTGGGGTTTTGAGCTTCTATTGGTATGTGCATGACATGCATGCCAAAATTGATGCATGCATGCATTTGGTTGCATGCTAGCTTGCTTGCAAGCATTGCTTGGTTTGCTTGGTTGCTGCCTTGCATGCCAAGTCTATATTTGCATTTGTATAAATATACAGCATGCATGCTGTTGCATGTTTGCACCGCAAAATCTTGCATGATCCGACAAGGTCACGTGTTTCATGTTGCCAGTTGCATGATTCTGCATGATTTTGCATGACTGCATGTTCTTGGCTTGGCATGGAATGCATGCATGATGGTGGTTCTTGCAAGCATGCATGCTTGAAGAAGTTTGATAGTGTTTGGTTGCATGGCTTGCATGCTGTTGCATATTTGGCAATGTCTGCCCTGCATGGTCTTGCATGATCTAGCAAGGTCACGTGTTGAGTCTTGCATGTTGCATGGTTTTGCATGATTTTGCATGGTTGCATGTTGTTGCTTGCATGGATGTTGCATGGCATGCATGCGTGATGCTGGTTGCTGCAAGCATTCATGCTTCAACATGTTGTGTTTTTGGTTATTTGTTCTTGTAGCTGCATGCATTCTTGCACATCCCAGGAAGTTGGCTTTGGTTCTGCATGGGGTGTGGACCGATGGCTTCGACGACGTCAATGGCAGGAAGTTGTTCCTGAGGGTTCCTTCTCCGGACGAGAACAAGGAGGAGAAGTGGTACATGTACTGGCTGGAAGAAGGCTTCTACGTGATCGCAGACAAAGTGGTCAGGGACGGCGATTGGAGCAATGTTCAGGTTCTGTGCAGGATCGGAGAGGGGAGAAACAGCGAACTTCCCCTGGGAGTCATTCATGCACCATGGACAGCCGGCGAGGACCCGGAGGCCATCGTGCCGGCATGGTGTCAAGGCTTGTGCTCCTGCCTGCGAGAAGAACTTCTGTCCTTCGCCAACGAAGCATGGTCGGCCGAGAAGCAGTATGATGCCAGCACGAAGCAGTTGGAGTTGTACAACCATCAATTGCAGTTGCAGGCTTTTTTTTGCATGTCATGTTGCATGTTTACACTTGTAGCTTGAGGTTTGCTTGCATGGGAATGTTTTCCTTTCATTCTTGCTTGCCTTGCATGCATCCCTGCTAGGTGCAAGAACTGCAGGCCGAGGTGGCCCTTCTGAAGCAAGGCCCTGCAGCTCCTCCGCCAAAGGCTGCAGCAGCACCGGGGCCGAGGCCTCCCTCCGGTTGTGCTATGTGGCATGGTTCCGGCGACCCTGCTGCAAGTGCACATGCACCGGTTGCGGCTGAAGCAAGTGAGAGCAGCCCGTTCAATGTTTTCCGGGTAAATGTTCCACCTGCGGTGCCGAAAGCCCCGCGGACTGTGCAGTCTATGGGCCTTCCGATGCCCCCTCCGCCTTCTTTGTGTACGAGAACCAGGGCGAACCCGTACTAGCCGGGTCTCAAACTCACCGAAGCCTATCTTCCGGAAGTGCAAAATGTGGGTGTTCATGTGAACATGTGCTTGCATGGCAGCGAGAGACAGCATGCAGCATGCTAGTTTGCAGTGCAGTGCCGGATCATGCAGCATGCAAGTTTGCAGTGCAGTGCCTGCTCGGTTGTTGCATGCTTGTTGCTTGTGTGAGGAAATGATGTGTGTGCCGCCGTAGCCTTGCCCACGGGAGCAGCTCAAGCAGGAGTTTGCATGCTGCAAGTTCATGGAAGCACATGTGCATGCAGGAGCAGGCAGCATGCATGCGGGAGACACGTTGTGGGTGAAGAAGATTTTAGGTGCCTCTTGAAAGATGGCGGCACCTGCGAGCTCGGAGCCTGCAGCCCCACAAACGGCGCTGCAGATGCTCCATGATCCAGCTCTTTGGTCATCCTCTCGCCACCGTGTTTTCTGGGAGGTGTACCCCTTTACGGGGTTCAATCTCGGCGACGGCGAGAATGGCTGCCACCTCTTCTGTGACTGCCTGCTGTTTTTCGGTGCGAAGCCGGTGGAGTCCAACTCGGATGCTGTGACACTTGGCTGCCATTTGTTTCGGTTGTGCATACATGTGCAAGTGAGTGTTTCATGTGGAGTGTGTTGGCATTGCATGTGATGGATTGCATGCAAACACAACGATTGCTTGTTGATGAACCAGTGGAAACAAGGCTTTGAGTCCTTGATATTAATCAAGTACGATGAAGTCCCCAATTCAGCCAGCTGAATTGGGGACCCAGCCGGGGATCACACAATTCAGTCATCTGAATTGGGATTAGGATGGCTTGGCTCACCAATTCAGGCAGCTGAATTGGTGAGCCGTCCGGGTTCGTCCCAATTCAGCCAGCTGAATTGGGATCAGCCGGCTTCGTTTCCCAATTCATCCAGCTGAATTGGGAGATTTGTTGGTGGTATACAGAAATGCATGCATAGCCTAGAATAACAGCAACATTCTGTAAGCAATATTGCTAAACATTCAACACAACAACATTGTTGTTAAGCTTCCTTTCATGTCTTGCATGTATTGACTTGGCTTGCATGGCTTGCATGATCTTGTGTGTGTGTGGCTGTCATGAGCTTGGCTTCGTTGATTGAATCAGAGTGATTCCAGAACAGTTGCCTGCCTTGCACACAGCACTTGAGGAAGTTGTATTTGTTTGCAATTCTACGGCTCCAGGCTTTCCTTTCTAGAGCCAACACCGAGCCATGGAGCAACAAGGCAGCAGCCCGGCCGCTGCAAGCAGCAGTGCTCCCATGCACAAGTGTTACACGAGTTCGTGCACCAGGCCTGTGGTTGCGACTCGTAAGCACTGCTGCAGCTCCTGCCGCTTGAATGGGACTGGCTTGCAGCACACTCCACGATGCAATCTGGGATATGTCCACGGTACGGACATAACAGTGCCGCCTCCGCAACCAGTGGCTTCCACTGCATTAACATGTGCACAGAGAGGTTGTGCCAGAGTTTGCAACCCGCCACACAGGTTCTGCTGCTCGTACTGCAAAAGAACCCACGGCAGGGAGCACAAGCTCACTTGCGACGGCAGACAGAATCTGCAAGGGTTCGTTTCCGGTGCCCCGACCACAAGCAGCTCTGGGCACCACGACTCCATGGATTTGAACTCTATGGATTGATATCGTCTCAACGATGCAAGGGAGACCAAAAAAGCCGACCTGCATTAAGTCCTGCCAGCAGAACTCGTGTTGCTTCTTGCTTGCCTTGCTGCCATGCAGTCACTGACCGCATGTTTGAGTTGAATCGATGCCATGCATGTGCTTGCAGGAGGATTATCCCTGACTCGCACAGGTGGGTCCTAGCATAGCCCCCAATCATTTAGGTCCTGGGTCCTTGGACTCATGGCAATTGCTTGGGGCAGCAAGGACTTTGCCAAGGAGCTTGCGGATGTCCAGAAGCTTTTGAGCTTCTCTCCGAATCCACAGCTCCAGGCGCGTCTTTTGAATGTCTTGCAAAAGAAGGTCGCGACTGCCGACAGTTTGCCGGCATGGGAGTATGTGAACATGCTCCAGTCTGTGGAACAATCTGGATTGGATGAAAATACAAAAAAGACATTGAGTGATGCTCTTTTGAAGAATGCTTCAGGTGGCAGCACGGAAGGTGGCTGCAAGCTCGTCAAAGTTCCGCAGACACTGAAGAACCCAGTGGCTTATTTGACGAAGGAGGAAATCGTGCAGCTTATGCAAGGTGACATCAAGGACGCCCCGATCCTCATTGCCAGACGGCTTCGGGTGATTGGCTTGACGAGCCTCAAAGAATGTACGAAGAAATCCTGTGTCACTTTGCACGTGCAAGCCCATCTTTGGCAGAATCTCCAACAACCAGATGCAGACAAAATCTACAAATTGGCGACTGACTTCCAGGACATTTTTCACAGCCTCAACGTACAGAGTGATGTGCCTGCTTTCCGGACATATCCAGATGATCCTCGAGAGTTGGGACCAGATTGGATTGCCAAAGCCTACAAAGGTTCTCACCCCAGCTGTGCAGAGCTGCCACAGCTGCATGTCTTGTCCAAGTCGTGCCCAATCCGCACCACCAGCCGGCTGCTCAAAGGCAGTTCTCAGGGTTCCAACCAGCTTGCTTGCAACATGTCCATGCATGCCATGCAGCA